TCACAGAAACAGGGAGACACCCGCACACACCCACAGCAGAAACCTCACACAACCTCACACAACCTCACACGCCTGGCTTACAGCCACATCACTGCTTACGCTCTTCTTTTTTTATTGTACTTGCTAAAGATCCTTTACTGCTCTGTGAATGAGAATTCAGAATACCAAATGAAAAGCTTAAAATTAAAACAAAAAAAAAAACCTTATAAAAGTTCATAAAACAGCCTTTAGACTGAACAGAAATTCTGTATGGATAAAAAGAGGTGTCCTGTTAAACACAGGTGGGTTCGTGCAGGACTAATATATGCTGTGAAGGCACTTTTCAGTACATCTCACCAGCCTTACACTTGTGTGATTATTAGCTCACACAGGCTGAGATTAACTGTTTGGGTATTGGAATTTAGCACCGAAACAGAATTAATTTTTCGATCCTCGATAGGATTGGATCATTCTGGTCGGCACCACAATAGAAAACTGTCAGTTCACGATATGGGTCGGTTCCTGAGGGCAATGGAAACGCGCCACTGGATGCAACTTAGAAAGGATAGCGTGGCAAATCTTGGGCAAGGATGCGGAAGCGGCACTGACCTGCTTGTACTTCTCCACGTTGACACCCTCCAGTTGGCTGAGGCGTACTAGGTTGGTCCCCACCAAGATACGCAGCTCCTGCCTCTCCTTCTCACGCTTCTCTCGGTCGCGGCTGTGGCCCTGGTGCTGCATGCGCACCCACAGCTTGTTCATCTCAGCGAAGTTCAGCAGCACAAAATCAATGGAGTCGTTGATGTCACCCGTGGTCTCCTCCCTAGGAGAGGGGATATGCCATGAAGTAAGGGCCTGCCCTCACCTCGTCAGCTTTGGCAGAAGACTGGGACTAACACCAGCATGCTCTGTGATGTGAATACTGCAATGTGACTCATCTCTGACTAAGCCCTACATGCTCTGCAGTGTAAATACTGCAGACTGACTCATCTCCGACTAACCCCTGCAAGTTCTGCAGTGTGAATACTGCAGACTGACTCATCCCTGACTAACCCCTACATGGTCTGCAGTGTGAATACTGCACAGTGATTCATCTCTGACTAATCACTGCAAGTTCTGCAGTGTGAATACTGCATAGTGATTCATCCCTGACTTAATCCCTCTATGCACAGTGCTTCATCCCTGACATACCTCCTCTGACTAATTCTTATACACATTGCACCACATGGACCATGTCATACTCAGGCTGTTCTCCATCGTCAGGCAGTATGTTGCGGGTACACTGGAGTAGGTAGTTCCTCAGGAACAGCCCTCTCAGAGGGTGCTGGACACCCCGGCACATCTCCACCAGGTCCTTTAAGATGTCCTTCCGCGACTGAGGAAATGACCTAACATAGACCACGCCCACAGTGATCAGCAGGTACCTAAAAGGGAGATGCATAAATGGTGGGTGAGGACAGAGTGGAAAAGCAGGCGCTGCGTTTTAATCACTTGAGCAATACACATGGCCAAAGAGATAAAAATTTAATATGTTCAGAGTATCAACAACATTTGTGTTTATTAGCAAAGTACTGGAAAGTGTCTACCCGGCACATATATCAGCACAAGTCTGGTACGTCTTCTACATCTGTCAGGTTACTGACTTCTGAGCGACTGTCTGGGGGTTAATGTGTAATTTATTTGTATACATTTATTTAACGTCTGTTCCCCTAAGGTCCGGCTTTTTCGTAATAACATTGTTCCACCAATTAGCTTCGGCCATAAGAACATAAGAAATTTACAAATGAGAGGGGGTCATTCAGCCCATCAAGCTCGTTTGGGGATCCATCTGTGCTGGATCTTCATTCATGGTGATGTAAATGGCATGCACCACTTTGAAAGTCTCTGTTTTATCGATGGCTTCCTACTTAGCAGAGATGTTAATCGTCAATAGGTAAAAATTAAGGTCTTGCTATTAATATTACTCATAAAACTTTTAGACAAACATACTGTTCACACAAAAATGGCGTTCAACACACTTTCCCAAGTCCAATCTGTTCTTTAACAGGGAATCCTGGATTGCCACTGTGTAAAATTGACTGTCCTAACTTTCCTCCACACATACTGGCCCCTCTGCCTGCCGATCCACTTACAGCCTGGGAATGATGTTCCCAGCATACTGAACCAGCTCATACAGATCAGCCACCTTGCGACCCTTGGCAAACTCATCTGTCAGGTAGACTTCCAGGTAGTGCAGCTCATCAGAGATGGCCATGTCTGAGCATAGTTAAAGGTCTCAAATCCAAGGTCAGAGGCAAAATTGCAAACAAAATCCCAGGAATCTTAGTCGTTGTGGTAGCAGCACCATCTATGCAAAAACACTGTGATTAGCCAGTAATTACAGAACGATGAAAAGGATACAGAGCTCGTAGTAGCTTTTTGGAGAGAGCATAGATGTCCGAAGCTCCCCTAGCATGTTGGAGGCATGCTTCAGGGCATCCATCAACTTGTTCTTGTCCTACAAAAATAGAGGAGGAACCATCGCAAAAATAAACCAACTAATATTCACCACAATAGCATCATGTCAGCTTGAACTGTTACTTATTCATTGAGTGGCATATCTCCTAAGGCCATTCAATGGGAGAAAAACTCAATAGTTCAAAGCATTTCCTCTACAAAGACACACCAAACTACCTAGCTGGCAGCAAGCTAACAACCAAAATTACTTTAATTCCTTATTTGGGTTCAGCGCTTACCAATCGAAGTAGAAAAAAATATGTGTAGCAGGAAATAGATCAGGATTCTTTATCTAACATAGGAACCTGCATCCATTTGGTGACTGTTCCTCGCCTTAGCCATGATACCCTGCTGTACCTCTACTTTATCTACTATACCACCTTGTCCTTTGCAGGGCCATAGGGGTGTAGAGCCCATCCTCAAAGATACTACTCAAGGTAGGAAGTAACCCAGGATGGGGGGTGAATCCCTCATAGGGCATACGCACATTCATATGGACATATGGACAGTTTGATAACTCCACTTAACCTCGTAATGTTTTTGAATTGGGGGAGGGGGGGGGGGAGACCACAGAACGCGGAGGAAACCTCTCAACAACACGGGGAGAACATGCAAACTCGACACACGCAGTCGAGGCAGAGACTTGAACCCTGGTCCCAGAGGAGACCACAGTGCCACTGTGGCACTTCCATAGCTACTCAACATTTCATATTAACATTACAGAAAATCATTACCAGGCAGCGTTTCATTTGGAAGGACTGGACCTTGACGGCTTGAATGGCTTCATCAAGAAGCTTCTCCTGCTCATCTTGGGGTGACTGCTGTGTGGTAGGCTGAAAGACAGGCCACCAAGGACTCAGTGAAAGCACCTGGAAGCATTGTTAGTCTAGATACGTGCATTTCTATCAAGCACACATCTTCAGAACAGTTAACACCAGTCTTAGAACACATACTGTCTGCAAAAACTTCTCCATCAATAATCTGAAAAACGTGTAAATGTTTTCATATTTTAAAAAAATATGAAAAAACACGACAGCAATCTTATTGCACTAATCGAGAATTAGCATACAACTATTTTTTTTGCCAATACCAACAATCGACCCCCCCCCCACAAAAAAGGCTTAGTCAGAAATCTAAGTTTTACAGCCTTATGTAGAAAAATATTTTATTAAATTAGTTAGATTAAATTAGAAGGCATAATCTATAAATTAAATAATATTTATACTTTAAAGAAACAAACTAGTTTGATGATCGTTTCATAAATATGAGGAAAAGGATTACAAAAATATGCTCTAACGTAAAATTAAACACCTGGCAATTCACTATAAACCTAAATATTTTACCACATAACCTGTTGTTGATTCGATAAACCAGCAGTACGGTAAAAACACTTATATGTACCGATCTGATAATGGGATATATTTACAAATAGGGGTCAATGAAAACGTTCTGCATAAGTCAATAGAATATATAGACCATAGACAACTGCAATACAAAGTAATTTCAATGGTATGGAGAAAGTTCTGGGTTATTAAATGATTCAAAGCAACTAGGGTAAACACTTCAAATACGTCAGCTAACACTTTTGACAACGTTGATTTCTATAACTTGCAGTTAATGTTATTACCTACGCAGTCCAATTAAAATGAGCTCTCTTTCTTCCATGTTAACTGCGATGTATTCACATAATACCCATCGAGCGTGCCTCTGCACCGGCCCAGGGATTTTAAAACGGTGTGCTGCTTGGCAGCTAGCTATTTTGGACACAAAGGTATAAGTAAACAGTTTTATTGACCTCGGAAGTCACATTGTATTGATATGCAAAAAGGGGGGCATGATAAATTAGAAGATGTCAATCATCAATGAAATGTTAGTTTATTTATTTTAGGAAAAAATGACTGAAAAATCACGACAGTAGCTAGGCCTTTGCACCACCCGAACACTGCATGAAACTACCTCGTAGCGTCTGCTCGGTTAAGAAACCTTAAGCGACGTGCCCGCAAAGGTAATACTATATATTTAGTTTTTATTTTAAGACGGCAATTATTCTATACATGATAACAGTTAACTACACTTACCATGATTATTAATTATGCTTCAGGAAACACCGACAGATAGCCCCCTTTCAAACGTTGCTTGTCATGTGACTACGTTGCAACTCCTCTTCCGCAGAACCGCCCTCATTGGCTAAAACATCAAATAACTGTCTTTCTTATTGGTCATTGGAAGTTTGATTGGCGGTGGAAACATTCAATGGGAATAACATGATTTTATAGTAAATATGTGCAGCAGTTTTGACAAGAGCTCCGTTGCATTTATTGTCGGGTTTTATTGCATTTGGCATTGCTCTCAGTCTTTTTCGCTTTTCATATAACTAGTATATAATCGATTTGATTTTTAACTAGATGGTATTTAAAATATTCTTGGTACTTACAATATTATTCCTACGTTGAGTTTTAAGTTTTCAGCAGTTAATCATCTAGTTTTATTACACCCGAATTATTACTGCCCAGTGACAGGTATGAGTCGTCTCGCTTAGGGAATCCGCTCTGTTTCGTCACTTCTAATTTGACCAACCAGTAGCTTCATGGGCGTGGCATGTGTGAAATTTCCCGCGAAAAAAACACACTAGTGCGGAAGGAGATTCTTGTAAATTATTTCCGCGATGGAGAAAGAGATGTTTAATAAACTTGCGTGCAAAATGGGTATAACTTCAGCGAAAATATTACGGTAAGTTGAGGGGAGTTTAGGTTTATACTAGATATGGCATCATTGTAAGACAAGGGTTGATACAATGTTGTTGTTAGACAAAATATCATATTCATTGATGTGAACAAGTTTTGTTTTCTGTGAGAGGTGTCGTAGTTCATAAAAGTGCGTCTGAAGCAAACACGTCAGAATCGATGTGCAGTCGCATATCTGACTGCTTAATACGTGCTGGTTAGCTAGTTGTAATGAGAGTGAATGTGGTGTTACTGCTAGGTCTGTCTTTGACACGTAAGCAAGTTCAATAAAGAGAAAAGGAGATGCGACGTTGATTTAAGGGAATGGCATTTTTAGCACAGTTTGTTAGGGAGAGACAACTTATCTTTTTCACTGGTGACCTTTTATGTTTGTTAGTGGCTATTTTTCTTTTGAGCAGAGATGAATTCTAATACGTTTCCTTCAGCCATCCATCTGCATTTTGCTGACTAAATGCTGCCCATGCTCTGAGAATCCATTCGTTTTACCATAAATATTGTACGACGTTGCATCAGCAAATGTCCTTAACTGTAACTCATTGTCTCGTTACTATTTGTATTTGTGAACAACGCACAAATTTTTGTGTACATATGTGTTCGCCCTTATTAACTAGTTTTATTTAGACTGAATTGTTGAAACTGTTGAATTATACTGACGTAACTTACATTCGTGACTTGTACTGCAAATCCCACAAAGAAAAGGGTCTTTTTTTGTTTCCCTGCACGATCGTAAGGTTTCAGTGTTTTGTTTCCCTTCTGTTTTCTGTGGTTTCTATACTATGTGTTTATTAAACATGGCCTGGGCCAATCTGAAAATGTCTGTAACATTGACAAATAACTACATGTTGCAGCCAAGCCGAAGAATATTTACGGTTGTCCCAGATCAGATGCACGGGCCTTGGAAACACTGTGACAAGCAGGGCTGTGATATGCTTGGAGCTCGCTGCTACGACCATGCGGCATCCTCTGGACAAAGTAAGCTGGTGCTCATGGTATAGGCTTCTGCAGCTTTGCTTTTTTCATTTGTTCATTCGCTCCGCACTTCTAACTGGCAATAGGGCCACATATGTCCAATACTACTATTTATAATATATATTTTTTCTTCAACAGGAGTATGTCATTAAATTGTCAGGCCTGAACAAGAATGTCTATCGGAGCAGTTTAAAGTCCATGGAGTGCATTCTGGGCCTGGAATCTCATTTGGGACTCGGAGACCTGGCTGTCCAGTATGGGTGTATGCAGGCTGCTGGACCTGCAGCCGAGATACTGCAGAGGTGAGCCAGGGTGGCCCCTGTTTCTGGGAGAACGACATTCCTGTTAACGTTTCTGCACATGGGGCCACGCTGCCAGTGGTAGAGAGCCAGAGTGGCATAGCCGCTCCTATCGATTCAAATGGCAAGTGCAGTTGTTTTTTTGGGCTGGTGGGAGCGTGTCTCCTTGTTCGGGCTGACAAAATGATTGCTTGGGTATGGTTTAGGACAGGGGTGTCAAACTCCAGTCCTGGGGAGCCAGAGCCCTGCACATTTTTGGGTTTCCCCTCATTTAACACACCTGATTCAACTCCTTGTGCTAATTGCCACGCAGCTCTTGAGCTGAATCATTTGTGGTGGAACAGGGAAAGAACTAAGATACATAGGGCATCGACCCCCCAGGACTGGAGTTTGACACCCTTGGTTTAGGGGCAGTGTGTCGCTCTGTGGTTTAGCACCCTGGGCATCTGAAGGTTGCTGTATCGAATGCCGTGACCAGCTGAGGGTAAGAAAGGTATGTAACAATTGACTCTGTTTATAATTCGGTTTCAATCACAATATTTGGTTCACAGTTTGATTTTCCCACCGTATTTTATGGTTTCCCACCATTTTTTACCATATTGCTGGAATTTCATTTTCCCAATAGCCAACAATAATTACTTACAAACATTTCAAGGTTGGAGTAGAATATAGTAACCTATTAACAAAAATTTTCCTTTTATTAAAGATGAGAATAAGTTAAAAAAAATAGGGTTTTCTTAACTACTTTGCTATTCTGTGGTGTTACTTCTGCAGGTTGCATTAGTTGGTTGCTGTTAGAGGGGCAGGCCAAGTTATTGCGCCTTCTGCTGTCAAAAAACTGCAATTACAGCTAGAGGATAAATCAAAATTCAGTCTAATAAAAATTTTAGCTATTTTTATTATTATTTTCCTGATTCGAATCATCATAAATTTGTACCGCAATTTATTCAATATATTGTTACTGTTACATGTCAGAACTTTGCCATGGGGGGAAATTCATTTGTGTAGTAATGCAGAAAATGGGTAAAACAAGGGATCATGCAAGTAAAAAAAGAAAATCAGTAATGAAAATGATAAATTTAATGATTAAATAATACAAATGTGCAAGACAATGTATCACTGTGGTAAATGTGCTACAAAATGGCTTGTGAAAATGGCGTATGTACATTCAATGTCATTCAGACTAATTGTGTCTAGAAGAAGCAGCATTGTTCTGTTATGTAGCAAGGACCCTTAGAATGGAATTCCTATCTACCTGGGCAAATGGAAAGTAATGTATCATTGTTGTTGTTAATACACTGCTATTTCTCAAATGGAGAATTTCCATCCTGGCCGGCCTTTCCACACTGTAGGTACAAAGCCAGTCTACCTGAGACCCAGCAGGCCAGCCTGGATTTATCCAAGCCGCTCTTCACCACGGCGGCTCTGCTCACAGCATGCAGGTGACTCCGCCCCTGCAGATAACGGTCATGTTAGTGCTGTCTGCCCCTGAGCCCTGAAGGGACATACACTCATGGGTTTTTATATATATATATATATATATTTATTAATAATTGCACTGTGTCCATTCACTGGCAGCAACTCTAAGCGAGACAGCTGGGCTGCGGAACGTGAAGCGCACACACAAACACTGAAATGTGAATTCAAATAAATATTTGATAAATCTGGAAAACCAAAGGGGTTTTGCTTGCTTTTGTTGAAATATTTCACTGTCGGAAAACTGAATGTAAAGCTAACTTTAATTATGGTTTAAACTTGAACCTGCTTTTCTGGAGTATTTCAGTATAGATCCGCATATCCCCACGTACATCATGAAGCGAGAATAGCAGGGAGGTGTCCCCGAAAGTGGGTGCGGGTTTATTTATGTTTTAACTTCTTAGTCCATTAACTCTATCTTTTGTACTTTAACTGGACACAGAGCAGTTGTTATTAGTAACAGAATAGTATTTCGAGGTCTCGCAAAGGTTTTTACAAGATCTCGTAAAAGTCCATCCCACCGTCTGGGGGGTCCCTAAGATTTCGCAAAGGCCTATAGTTCTTTTATTACCCCCCCCCCCCTCCCATCCCTTCTGGGGCTCCATAGTTTGCTAATCACAACTCCTTATTTCAGGATAATTAAAATGCAGGTTGATGTAGTAAAGTGTCCCCTATGAACTTGGCATGTGTTGCCTGTCTCCCTGGTAATCATGGCCTAGTTGTAAAAAGAAAGTATCTTAACATTGGTTGGTTTGTTGACATGTGGTGACCTTTGTCGTCGTCCCCCCCCCCCCAGGTGTATGAAGATCAAAGTGGACAGGAAGTTGGCAGCCTCTTCTGGGGCTAAGAAGGGAATGCTAGACAGGCTCTGTGTCCAGTTCCAGAAATTTGCCCAGGAAATCTGCAGTAAGTTATTGCGTTCATGGAAGAATGGGGCAGGAATGTGGAGTTAATAGGAGCAGATGCAGCCTTTTCAAGGGCGTAGGTTTGGTTCAGCATTGGTGGGGACCAAATTGGCCCCGGAGCTTGGATTTCAGGGGACCCATAAGGTTATATTGAGTGTGTTATTTTTAACCAAAAGCAGTGTGAAGGCTAGTTTTCAGAGACATGCTCAGTTTGTCAGCTATACTCGATTTAATCAATGTATAAAATTAGCTATCCTTGTCCACTGTGAGGATACATTTGGGTCATAGGTTGCTCACTGGTTGTCATGGCTACATTCCCCTTCAGTATCCTGGTTTTCATTCTGTGAGCTTAATTCCCCGACTTGGTATGGTTTTGGTGTAATATTGTGACAGATTAAGGAAGGATGAATGGTATTGGCAAAAGCAGTCTTGATGATCTTTTGGTATAAATAGCATAGATCTACTGGGAGCTGGAAATACGTGGACCGTCTGGGGGGTCCCCAAGGACTGGGTTGGGAAGCACTGGCGTAGATTAGCTGTGTTCATTCACCCCCATACAGGTGAGATGAGAACAGGAACAGCAGCTGCGAAAGACCAGCCCAAAACGGCAAAGAAAAGACAGAAGACGCTGCAGGAGGTCATTGAACAGAGGGAAGAAGGTAAGAGAATTTCCAGGAATTCCCCGCATGCAATTCCCAAGTCTCGCAGTATGGGTATGCAACCAGTAGGGACTGGAGGATGCGTTTCGCCTCATCTGTCCCTGCAAAAAATTGAACTTCACCTTAAAATTATTAAGTTGTCCTCCCCAGTATCAAACATTCTTCTATGCCATTGTATTTAATGAGGCATGAGCAGAATCGGATATGCGTGCAGTGTGTGGAAATCTTATCTATATATTTGTTGTATTGAGAATCCAGAAGGGCAGAGCTTACGGTTTAAGTACTTTGAGCTGAGAAGAACCTTGTTCTAGTGTCGGGTTCTGGTGCTGGATCATTCTGGCTCCACACAGGGTTGAAAACTAAAACAAATCTGCACTTTTGTTTGCTGTGACTCACTCACTTGCCGCATCTGCGCTGTTCGAGGAGGTATCAGCTGTCGCTCAAGTATTTCCCCCCCCCCCCCACCTCACCCCTAGTGCTAGAGGAAGAGCTGCTAAAATCTCCCAAACAGCACAAGGCTGACTCAGAAGAGCCCCTGAAGCAGAATTACGAAGAATGGAAGAAGAGCGTCTTGGAAAACGCCTTGAAGGCCACGGGGGTGGATTCAAACTCGAAAGTCGGCTAGTGGCAGCCTTAAGTCTACTTGGTGTTTATTATGGAGCCGCGCGGTTTGACCTTTTTCAAGTTCCCCAGAATTCCTCGTTCGTATTTGGCTGTAATAGCACCACCCATGTACTGATGTACCGACAGAGAGCACGCGGGGTACTGAATGGAACAACGTCGTTCAAAGGCTCGATGCGTTGGCGTCACTCGCCCGGAACTTCGGAAAGACGTCGCAGACTTTGTTTTTGCGGCTCGTGTAAAACGACTCAATTTTAACCATCATAAAGCGTTTTATCTCTTTGTGTGCTCGCTTTTACTTAAGCTTTTTAATTACATTTTTTTATAATTTGAGTGCGGTCTGTTCTCAGATCTTCTGAGCATTTGAATAAAATATGTTGTATGAGTATAAGAGATCCTGTGATTGTGTGTGGCGGGGGGGGGGGGCGCATTTTGACATACCTGTAATTACTTATGTGCACCCACCTCAAGGACACTATACATTTAAATGCATTAGCAGTGAAGGATTCACTGTCAGCTGATGGTTAATTATGGACCAGAGTGGGAAGTGTGGCAGGTCAGCGGGGAGAACTTTAATGTCACTGCTGTATGGGTGGGGGTTTGAGTGGTGTATGTGTGTGCGAGCGTGCACGTTCGTGTGTGTGCACGTGTGCGTGTGATTTGCCTGATTCCTTTTGTAGCGATAAGTAGTTGGCTTTACTGGTATCTCTGAATCCTGCCCTGCCCTGTGCTCTCTGGGAAGGACCTACCTGGGACCCCTACCTCCATCTCCCATGACCTTGACCAGGACAAGCTGTTTGAAAAAGATTCAAACACATTGACACAAAGGGGAAAAAATGATGTTGAGTGGACAGATTGAGTATGAATAGCCATGTGAGGTCTCTGTTGACTCATTTTCTAAAAACAAGGTTTGCTAAGACTATTTTAGCGGACGCTGTCATTGTCAGGTTGACCCAATAGCAGTGAAGGCTGGTTGAGTAATTCGACATTGATATGCGTTTATGAATCTAAGGATTCTGGGGCGCAGCACAAACTGTTGGTGATAAAAGATGCGTGTCACTAGCCAATCTGACAAATGTTAGCTTTCGTTTACTGGCACGCTGAAAATTAGGACAGATGGTTCTGTGAATGGAACAGGTACTAATGCTACAAAGTTATTACAATGAGTTACTGCACACAGTAGTGCTGGGATAGATATGCATTTTACATGTTTTGCTACAGATGTATGCATTTAAATGCACACATTTCAAATAGAAGCTGCAGCATGCATCTTCTCTTAAAAAGAAATCCTGCAGTCTGTATTATCCCAATCATTGTGTGAGACCTTCACAGCTATGTAGTACTGTGCCTGTGATAGACGTCACATCCACTGATCTGAATTCGTTACATGCTGCCTCACTGTGTGATGTTTTTTTTTTTTAAGGTTCTTGTTCGCAGGTAAAGCCACTAGAAGTGGAACATGTTGATGGTAGCAATATAATCTTGTGTGAGGTCTATAAATTGCTTGGGTGATGCAAGGGAGGCTGAAACTTTTCACTGAGATGTGGAAGACTTACCAGCATGTCGTTGCGTGAAATGAGTTTTCTACACGTTCTAAGAAATCTACGTGGCTAGGCAGGTGTGTGAGTAATATGCTGGGAATGGTGATCACATGACCCAGCTGCATTATATGGACAAAAGGAGTAGGACTCGCCTCAATCACTGAATTCAGGTCCTTCAAACCCATAGCCACAGGTGTATAAAATCAAGCACCTAAGCATGCAGTCAGGCTTACAGACAGTTGTGAAAGATTGGGCCATAGAACGCCGCCTTCGCAATAAGTCAGTTCATAATTATTTCCTTGCTAGATATTCCACAGTGAACTGTAATTGATGTTCCTAAATGCTTCCACTTTGCAATAACAACAGAAATGTAGCCACAAAGTGGCAGACCATGTACAGTAACAAAGCTGGGTCGCAGAGTGTCGAGGCAATAGTGCGTAAAAGTCACCAACGCTCGGTTGACTCAATAAGTTCCATACTTCTTCTGGCATTAACCCCAGCACAGAAACTCTGGGGTGTGCTGGGAGCTTCACGGAATGGGCTTTCATGGCCGAACTGCTGCATGCAAGCCTCACATCACCAAGTGCAGTGTCAAGCATAGGATGGAGTGTTATAAAGCACACTGCCACTGGACTCTGGAGCAGTGAAAACATGTTCTGTGGAGTGACAAGTAATGCTTGTCTGATGGGCGAGTCTGGGTTTGGCAGATGCCAGGAGAACGTTACCTGCCTTTGACTGCATTGTGCCAGCTGTAAAGTTTGGTATAGGAAGGATAATGGTATGGGGTTGTTTATCTGGGGTTTGGTTTGCCCCTTAGTTCCAGTGAAGGGAACTCTTAATGCTTCAGCATACCAAGACATTCTGGACAATTCTGTGCTTCCAACTTTGTGGGAACTGTTGGGCTCTTTTCTGTTCCAGCATGACTGTGCCCCAGTACACAAAGCAAGGTCCTTAAAGACATGGTTGGATAAGTTTGGTGTGGAAGAACTTGACTGGCCCACACAGAGCCCTGACCTCAACCCCATCAAACACCTTTGGGATGAACTAGAATGAATGATTATGAGCCAGGCCTTCATTTCCAAAATAAATGCCTGACCTCATAAATGCTCTTCTGGACAAATGGACAAAAATTTCCAGAAACACACTACAAAATCTTGTGGAAATCCTTCCCAGTAGAGTGGCAGCTGTTATAGCTGCAAAGGGGGAACCAACTCCATATTGGTGCCTATGGATTTAGAATGGAATGTCATAAAATGTAGGTGTAATGGCCAGGTGTCCCAATATTTTTTTGTTCATATGGTGTATTTTGCGTGAAATATACCGTGAAATATTTTCAGAAGAACTTAGCATTACGTTAGGATTGTCACCTACAGGTCACGGTGACATTCGGCTTCAGTGTCCTGGAGAGTAAGAGTGGGATGATTTTCTGTGAACGCTAATGCATATGTTTATGTACCGTACCACCCCCAGAAAAAAAGAAAATCATGTAATTGCATTATTATCTGCAATAAACATTAAACATGTTTTATTTAGGACTGAGTTTCCTAGTTTCCTTAATATTGCACTTAAAAATATTTTCTCCTTGCAATAGCCCATATCTTTAGAAATTCTCATCTCTTTATATAGGTGATCCCAGCTAGACCTACCTAACAGAAGTAAGTCCTACTAAAGGTGTGAAATTCCATGGTGCCTAGCAGTGGAGTATTTGTGTCTGTGGTGCTGGAGTGCCATTCTGACATCTCTCTCCAGGTAATCGCTGCAGGTAGACCATTTCTAGCTGCGAACACAAATCGACATGCAGTCCCCCACCCTGAAATAAAACTTCAGAATTCTGATTAACCGCTTGCTTTGCTAGAGGACTGGTCAGAAATTTCCCACATAAAAGCACAGCATCTCATATCAATCTGTAAAAGGGACACACTGTAATGGAGTTGCTCCAAGGTGGGTTAAAGCGACCTTCACAGAAGGAACGAGAGGGAGACCCATGCTATTCTGAATGCAAATTTAAACCTAACAGTGTCCTTGTTAGCGGCAATTGCAATGAATTCCTCTGTTACAAACACTACTGTGTCATAAATATCATAGATCTATCAAAATGAATTCCATCTCTATGAAAACATACATACCTGTGCAAAATGGCAAAAAAAAAATTAACATCAGGGTATGACTCAATTCACGGCAGCACGAAGCGTTAAAAATTCATTTAAATAACACACTTGAAATTAAATATCAATGCACAAAAAAACCCCGTATGGGAGAAAAATTGCAGTGTGCTCGATTATACTGTGCAATGGTGAGTTGAAAATAGCCTGTTATTTACTATTTGACATCAAAAATTGTAGTAAGGTTGTAAACTTGGGAAAAAGTACAATGTCTGTCTTGTGGTTTGTGTTGATCCGTACGGCGGGCGGGCGGGCAGGAAGTGGGTGGGGGCACTATGCCGGATTCGTAGACCGAAGGCTGTACATCCTCTTAAGCCGATTGGCAGCAGCAACTGCGTAGAAATGTTTCTGGGGGGGAAAGAAACATTGGAATCGTTCGTTTCATTTAGCTAATGATATTTACTTTTATTTACGACGCTTGCCGAGGGAGGGCAATTCTGTCACGCATTATATTAAGCACATATTTATAGAAAGGATAAACGCTGCCCCCAAATCTATGTCCTATATACACCACATCTTTCCCCCTAAAATGATTAGCATCCACACACAGGTGCTTTCCTCATGATCAGGAACAGCTTAATTAAAACATTAGCTTGGTTGTTTCAACCACTTAATCTATTGATTATGAATATACGAATAGACAAAATAGCACACATATTATGTATATATTAGTTGTATTTATTCTTTCTGTACTACCGTACAAAGACATTTCTCCTCACTGGGACCAGCAACATTCTGTCTTATCTTAACCCAAACGCCAAACTCATGATCTCTGCTCCAGGATCTCGGTAAGTATGTATAACACACAGGCCTCGGGGGTGGCCAGCCTCACCTTCCACTGCCGGTGAGCGGCCAGGTAGCGCTGTAGGTAGAGGTGGGATTTCAGGCGGACCCTCTTCATCCTCGCCTTCTCCTCCAGGTTGTTCAGCCAACTGTGCTTCATGCAGCCTGAGGCACTGAGGCGCCCACTGTGTCGGGAAGGGGGGGGGGGCACACGGGGGTGGAACGTTAGCACTCAAATCTATATTAATGCGCTGTTACGCGTGCTGTCAGATCGCATCTTAGCGGGTCGGTCACACTTCCAGCTGCGGGAAAAAATAGGACGTTGCGAGTTTTGATATTTACTGCATGAGGACTACTAATGATCAGGAGACATGGAAGCCTGCCGACCACACGCATGATTGTTATTCGAGTAACTCGGTAACGTTATTCTGCATTATTCAAACATTATTCGCAATGTAAAAAGCGAAAGAGACAGTAGAGATTAGAAAGAATGGGATATAAACTTTCCAAAAGGTGTAGGAAAAGATGTGACATTTTTGATATCAGCGATAAATAATACTTTTATTGGTCCCTGTGGGGAAATTCTCTTTATGCCTCCCCCAACTTGCTCTATGTAGGTGAGAGCAAGCTGGCTGTGAAGGGCAACCACCCATAGAGGCACCCAGGGAGCTGGGGGTTAAGGGCCTTTCTCAAGCTCCCATAGATGTGACTGTTCTGCCCAGGAAGGATGGACCTATCAAATGGGCCGATGGCAGATACAGAAGCTTAGCCCACTGAGCCACATGCTACCCTTTTTGTGTAATACAGATAGCAGGTCCTTTGGTCCAGAACTGGACAAATAAAATCTGTAACATTAAGGATATAAAATTTGGGAGGAGGCTAGATCTTTAGCCTTGGCCACT